TTCTTCTATTAACTAAGGATCAAGAATTTAAAACCATACTTCTAAACATACTTTCTAGTTCAAAATAGTTTATTTTAGAAAATCGGACAGTTTTGGTATTTGAACTTTGAAAATTCATATCTCTTAGAACCTATATCCAAAACACTTGAAAATTTCACACGATGTTCATATATAAGTATATTATACCTTGTTAAAACAGTTTAGCAAGAGACTTAACCGTTTAAGAGAAATAATTAATTTAGTGCAGTCACACAGTCAAATTTCCAGAACAGAGCAATCAACTTTAAAATTACCAAATAATTCATACCTCTAACCAAACACTGTGAAATTTTGCAGAGAAGACGTTTAACAAGTCTATAATCATATCCAAGTAAATCACGCAAGTAAAATTAGTATAAAGTCGTATTAAACACATAGTTCATAAATGACTCAGAGACTGTGCAGTTTTAGAAAAAGGGTCATAACTTACTCAATATAAATCCGATTTATGCATAATGTATTTCAACATGAAGCTAACCGAAAGATCTAGTCTACTATGAAATTTCATAATTTTATCTTACTGATTACCCGATGAGACATGCAATACAAACAGAGGCTGCGAAACTGAAATTCAATTAGTGTTCATCAAGAACTTTATCTTCTAAAGCCCAAAATTAAAACCACAAACATATAATTCATTAAAACACATATAATTCATCTTAATTAGTTTATTATTTCAGTAAAGACCAAGAGGTCCTTACCCATGAAAATCAAAGGCTAAGAAGAAGAAGAAACCAAAGATCCATGGAGTTTTGGCTTGGAAGTCTTTGGGCTTGACATGGGTGGTATTAGATTGCTTTGGAGCTGAGTTTTGAGAGATTATATGGTTGTTTCTTTGAGTGTATTTGGGGAATCTCGAATTTAGGGAGAGAGAGGCATTGTGAGAGGATTTTAGAAGAGAACAATAGGGACTTTTATAAAGAATCTTGAAGGCTTTGAAGTTGAAGATGAACTCTTCCATTTGGGGAGTGTTTGGACGAGATAGAGGAGAGAGAATGAGGGATTTTGGCTTGTGTTTTTGTTCTGAAAATGGAGGAGAGGAAGATGCTATTTATAGGAGAGTAGAGGGACTTACTTGCAATATAGGAAACAAGGGGGTGCATATAGCAATTATAAAGATTTGGACACTTGGAAACTCACCACAAACCCAACACACTCAACTTGTACACACGGCATTTCCACAAAACACAAAGCACATGCACACACAACACTTATACATATACACATCTATACATAAATAATATTAAAATAATAAAAGAGAAATGGTGTGGGATTTTTCTATGCTCTTACGAGAGAGAGAGAGAGAGAGAGAGAGAGAGAGAGAGGGGTGTCCTATGTCATGTATGTCACATACATATACATCAAATAAATATGCACATATAACATACATGCATACACACACATAAATAAATCCTAGCACATATAATCTATCATTTCATAAACATACACATTCACATTCACATAATATAACATACATAATTAAGTCCACATCATATATTATATATTAGCATAAAATATATATGCACATATACAAAAGCATGACTTACATAGATGGTCACTTCATTCATTAAATCACATAATTAGAATCAACTACTTAATTAATAATAATGTCTACTTTTAAAAATATTATAATGTATCTAAATCACATAAACACATAGAGAACGTATAAATTGCTACTCGATTCATGAAATGCACTTATATTTGTATTTACTATACATTCAATATAATAATATATAAATGCTAATGAAAATGTGGGGTGTTACAACAATACAGAGAACAATGGTGAGTCGATTTTCTTTGATTTAAACTACTTATATTTTCGTCTGATTTATTTGGTTTTATTACTGTCTTAATTATTTATGGATTCTATGTTCTAGAAAGTTCTTATGGGCATCATAACATGCGTATCGCAAGCACGAGCGCTAATTCATCGAGCATGAATAGTGAAAAAGGGTATGTGTTTTAATTTTGACTCGATTTTTAAATATTTCAATGAGTTTTGATATCACTATAATATAAGTTGCTTATCGAAATAATCGCGTTCCATTAAAAGCTAATTTCGATTACCGTTGAACAGAGACATTCCGATTGGCGAAGCACTTAGGTGTCAGATTGAAGTGCAGAAAACACTGCAACAACAGCTTGAGGTATATATATTGTATATATTAACTGACATAAATTAAATAAAAAAATAAATAAAATAAATATATATTAATTTTTATTTTCCTGTGACAGGTGCAGAAGAAATTGCAAATGAGAATAGAAGCTCAATGGAAATACTTGCAATCGATACTCGAAAAAGCTCAACACAGCCTTTCTGCCGACATAAACCAGTCCGAAAATCTGGAATCGACGAAAGCTCAATTAACCGACTTCAATTTAGCCCTCTCAATTTCATGCAAACGATAAACGGAGACGAAATAAATGGAAATAAAGAAGCACGCGAAAATAAATGAGTTTTTTTTTTTTTTCTTCTAATAAAGCTCGGTGATGGTCGACGTTGTTTGTGTCTAACTTTGAATAATTTTTTTCCTATCTATAAAAGTCTGGGTCGATGCTGTTTTCATAGCTCATCAATTCACCTGTTAGTTTCGAGTTCCTCTACCCGCAACTCATCTGAAGGTTAGCCCTTCTCTGTTATGACATTATGTGATGTTTGCTGGTGGGTAGTCTCATGTTGTTACTGGTAAAGACCATGTTCCTAATGGTTGTGCCTATTGTTTTTTATGCTGTTTCTTCGTAGCTTTGTTTTGTCTTCTTTTATCGGCACGTAATTTATTTTTCTAAAGAACCATTTCAAGTTTTTTTTTTTCTTTTCTAGATTATATGGATGGATTCAGATTTCAATGATCTCATTTTCTTTTCTAGGTTGCATGATGGATCGACAAAAAACCAAATTGTCACGAAATCAACTTCTTGGCTGCATGTTGACATTGCTCAGGTTACAAATCATGATTAGCACATTTTTACAATATTTATCGTAATTAATTTGTTGTTCAGTTGTGCCTGTATTTGATTCATATGCTCACTTGAGATTGGCAATAGGGAGGGATGTTCTCGTAATTTATTTGGCTATTTTGATTTTTTTTTCTTTCACTAAAAGGTTTGATTTCTCTGCTTCACTGTTTATTGAATCTTCATAATTACTTCGAGTTGTTAATTCCTTCTACCTCAGAACGTTTTCGAGATTATGCAATCAAGGAATTCATTTTACTGTTCTAATTCCTTGCAGTCTACTCTACTGTCTCCTTTCTTGCAGCACCCCCACTTTCAGTAATTAGTAATTTCTAATGGAAGATACGGAAGTCAACACCAGCTCGACCTTCAGTAATTACTTGTGGAGTTGGTTGGCTGTTAATGATGAAAACCTATTATGATTCTCTTTTTCCAAATTTTAATCAGATTTCTTATGAATCTTAATGTGAATTTAGGTGGCCAAAGTTTTGCTTGATTCTCTTTTTGGCAATCTCACAGGTTCCAGTGCAGTATAGTAAGAATCGATACAATATTGTAAGAATCGATACATAAACTCAAAATTCAAATAAATCATCTTGTTTATAAAATATATCTCCGAAAAAGTGTTTTTGGGTGCAATAAGACAGAGAAAATGCAGGTCTTTTGGCCATGAAAAAAGCAGGAAGAAGGGGAGTTATACGGATATCATCCTGTTTCACGATTTTTGGTATATGCAAAATTAATCGAATACTACCACTCTGCATTTTGGTCAGAAAAAAAAGATATAATCCTTTGACCTATTTGCAGCTTCTTATTGCATGTTGTTTGGTTATGTCATAATTATTAATTATTACTCATTCTTATCTCACTACATCCTTACATTTCGAATGTTAGTCTACATATTTTTCAGGAAAGATGACACTTATTCATTGTTATGCTTCTTCTCTATGTTTTACCCTGTTGTATAGGCTGCACGCACTGCGTGGTTTTTTCTGCTACCTACCTAACATGATTTTTTTTTTTCCAAAAACAGATTTAGCCGCTTGTTCATGGATATAAATGAGCCCTTTAGATTGTATTACACAACTTTATTATGACTTATGCAATTTTCTCTCTCTAGGTTTTCATCCTGCAGGCATTGGCGGTGATGGTCTTTCCCACTATCATACAGATTTCCATGAAATTGAGGTTTGGGAACCAACACATAATTGATGTATCTTGATTTTTCAAAATGCTTGTCTACTCTGAGCTGATGCTTTTTTGTTTCCAGAAAATTGGTTATGGAAACTTCAACCAGGTTTTCAAAGTCTCGAAGAGAATTGATGGTTGCATGTATGCCGTAAAACATAGCATGAGACAGTTGCATCAGGATGCAGGAAGGTAATTTAATTTAATTTACTTGTAATGATCAGCTGCTTGTATTTACGCCACTCGCTTGTTGCAGCAAACTTATGTTTAATACTGTCACAGGTGCAAGGCTTTGATGGAAGTTCAAGCTTTGGCGGCTCTAGGTTTGTTACATTATTATATTCTTTTTATTTTTATCCAAAGATTGAGATTTTTAAAATTTTCGATTCCCATTTTTCTCAGGGTACCACGAGAATATAGTTGGCTATTATTCTTTGTGGTTTTGAAAACCAGCAACTTTACATCCAATTGGAGCTATGCGAGCACATCCTATCTCTCGATAGACTACCTAAAGTATTCACCAAAAGAGAAGCTTTAGAGGTAATGTACCGGCCTACCGGGTGAATGATTTTGAATCTATAACGTGACGTAATTGTAGCGGATTATTAACTTTCTGTGGTTTGTTTATTTTATCTTGAAGAGTTAAATATTTAATTAGAATTGTTAAAGGCTGTTAGAAGGGATTGACCATGACCTTTTCCAGAGGAGATTTTTCATTGAAAAAATTGCATGCGTGCAGATTGCTAAAGCATTTCAGTTTATACATGGGAGAGGAGTAGTTCACTTAGACGTAAAGCCAGAAAATATTTATGCAAAAAATGGAGTTTATAAACTTGGTGATTTCAGTTGTGCGACTGTCGTTGATAAAAGCTTGCCAATTGAAGAAGGTGATGCTCAGTACATTCCCCAAGAAATCCTGAACGAGAATTATGAAAATCTAGACAAAGTTGATATATTCTCGTTAGGAGCTTCCATCTATGGACTTGCAAGAGGGTCACCGTTACCTGAATCAGGTTCTCATTTCCTCACTCTTAGGGAAGGGAAACTGCCCCTTCTTCCTGGTCGTTCAATCCCGTTTCAGAATTTAATAAAGGTAAATTACCTTCTGCTTTTATGATATGAAAAGTAGGTCTTAATCGAGGATATCCAATCTGTCTTTACTATTAATGTTTGATAATTTCGGTGAAAAACCATCGTGATAATTATGTTAATATAACATTCGTTTCTTTGAGTTATATAGACTTGGTGTAACAACCTAGATAGCAAAATTAAATATTTGAGTTTTCAGAAAACTATATGCAGGGAAAGCTCGAGTTGAGCATTTTAAATGATGTTAATTATTATTTTATAGCGAGCATGTTCGATAAAAACGCTTTGCATTGCTACAGATTAACTTGCGTACTGGTGTTCGATTTTCTTTCGATTTGTTAATCATTCAGGTGATGATGGATGCCGATCCTGTTCGTAGACCAACAGCCAAAGAAGTAGTTGAGAATCCAATTTTTTACAGGATTGGAAAGAATAAATAAATCAAAAGTATATCATCAGGGTTTCTAGCAAAACTGATAAGTACAAAATCAGGTTTCTAGCGAGCTAGAAGCTGCTGCAAGCTAATGTACTTATTTTTTTTGCAATAATTAAAAAGACTTTGTACAAGAAAAATCGCAGTGGACTTCAGTTATGGAAGTCGAGCCACACTGATATCTCCATTTTCATGCACCAGAGTTTCAATTGTGGTGGTGCTAATTTTGTATACACTAGAAATGTGGAGAAATGGCCGTATTTTTGTTGCGATTATGGTAATTTGAAGCAGTTGTTTTAGCATTGATCAACTTGTTTCAAGGCCTCTCTGTTTCTTGACCTAAACATATATCTTTCCCTTTCGAGTTAATCATCCGGTCAGCTGATTTGTAAGATTACTCAATTTAAAGGTTCTGTTTGTATATTCGATCCGAAAGGCTATTGGTTGCTTGTTGTAGCACTTGTCCTAAGCAGTCATCGTTGTAGAAATGTAAGTGCTTATGATATGTCCCAACCAGGAGAGCAAGAATTGCACAAAATGCATTCTCTTAAGGTGAGAATTAATTGCTTAAATTTGAATAGATAAAACTTCAAGAGTTTAAATAAACAATAGAGAAAAAACTTCTATGTTTGGTAAGCTTTTGGGCTTCCGTTTTCATTTAATTATAGAGAAAGGTGTTTTTGAAGAAGAATTTAAAAATAAAATTAAGTTTGTTTGTGTTTTGAGAGGAGACAATTTATATTGTAACAAGTCAAATCATATCTGAAAGGTGTTGGAAAAAAGTATTTTGAAAGAATTTGATAGGTAAAATCAAAGCATTACATATATAAACCACAAACACTTTTAAATAGTTTATAAATTCTTAAATATCTTATAAGCTATTTTTAAACCCTTACAAGCTTAGCCAAACAACCTCTAAACACTTTTTAAATAGTTTATAAATTCTTAAATATCTTATAAGCTATTTTTAAACCCTTACAAGCTTAGCCAAAGACCATCTAAATTTTTAAGAGGGAAAATATGATACAAACTCAGTTGACTAATTAAAAGGACGTCTTCATAAAAATTGTTGTATGGATGACAATTTTATTTAATGAATGAAAACTTTCAACCAGATTTACATCATTTATTATGTCTCTCGAACATGTAATAACATCAAGGACCAGAAAAAAGAATAGACAACAAAAACCATTATTTGGAACACTTTTGAAGGATATTTCCACTTTGTAGGATTTTCTTTTATACATGCTGAATTCGGCAAAATTGATTGACAACAGTAGTAGCGAACCGGAATGGAAAATCAGTCGAATATTAATCCATTCCGAAAATCATTCGAGTATATCATTCAGCGCGCATACATCCATTAATTCATATTCCAGCTTCTTCTACCTAAAATCTCCAACACTTTCTTTTTTAAATCGTCGACACCATTAATACCTAAAAGTTAATGTTGAAGTGCAAACAATGTCCCACATCGGTTTAATATGGTAAAGATCAATCTCATAATCTGTTTATTTATTTATTAATTATATGTCAGAGTGTTACCCTGTGACTGTGTGTGATTCTCTGTATTTTTTGTGCCTTTATCTGTGTGATACCATGAATGCTTATCCCTTGGCTCCTTTTGATGGAAAAGGGGTTTTTCCTATTTGGCAATAGAAAATAAAAGTGTTTTAGTCCAACAAAAATGTTTTAAAGTTGTTACTTTAGCATATGAAGATACCACTATTGCTGCTAAGAAGGCAGAATTTGATGAACTTGCCTATTCTTTGATTATCTTAAACTTGAGTGATTCTGTGATTAGAAAACTAGGAAATCAAGATAATGCTAAAGCCTTATGAGATAAATTGGAAGAACTTTATACTGAAACCTCCTTGCCCTCCAAAATGTTTTTGTTAGAGCAATTCTTTAGATTCAAAATGGATTTAAACAAAGACATTGATGAAAACCTTGACAATTTTACAAAACTGGTTCAAGATATTAAGCTAACTGAAGACAAAAATATTGATGATTACTCTCCTATTGTTTTGTTAAATGCTATCCCTGATACTTACACTGATGTAAAGTCTGCCATTAAGTATGGTAAAGATAAGGTTTCTTTGGATACTGTGATAAATGGTTTAAAAAGCAAAGAACTTGATTTAAAAACTACCAAGAGTAGTAAATCTTTTGGTGACATCAATTTTGTGAAAGGAAAGCCTAAAAATCAGTTTCAAAATAATTTTCAAAATAAATTTCAAACAAGGCTTCTTCTAGTAACCAAAACCAGTCTTTACAAAGACCTAAAAAGGGCAAGGGGTGGAATAAGTTTAAAGCCAAAGACAGAAAGTGTTACAACTGTGGTAAAAGTGGTCATTATGCAAATGAATGTTCTGAGCCTAAAAAGGAAATAACTAATGAACAAGCTAATGTTGTGACTGATAATCTTGGTGATGTGTTTATGGTTGGTAATGTGATGCATGATTATGTGAACTCTGTGATCTCTTCTTTGTGTGATAATGATTAGATTTTTGACTCCGCATGCACCCATCATATGACACCTCATAGACATCTGTTTTCTTCTTATGTGAAACTTGAAAATGGTAATGTGTCTATGGCTGATAACAGTGAAAGAACTGTAGTTGGAATTGGAACTATTTGCCTAAAACTTGAATCTGGTTTTGAATTAATTCTTAAAAATGTTAGGCATGTTCCTAAACTAAGCAATAATCTGTTATCTGTTGTTATTCTTGAAGACAGTGGTTTGCATAGTAATTTGGGAGCTGGTTGTCAGAGAATCATGATGCATGATAAATTTGTTTTCAAAGCTGTTAGAATGCAAAACCTCTATGTGTGCTCTGTTGAACCTGTTTAGCATGCCAACACTGTTAATCATGACATGTCTATTCTGTGGCATAAGAGGTTAGGTCATATAAGTGGTAAATGTCTTGAAATTCTGCATAAGAATAATTATCTTAGTGATGATTGTGTGACAAATTTGCCTATATGGTATTCATGAATCTTTGGGAAACAAACTAAAGTTAAATTTCCTATTTCCCCATTCCCCAATTCCTCTAAATATTCAGACATACTTGAATATGTGCATGCTGATGTGTGGGACCCTGCCCCAGTTCCTTCTCATGGTGGTAATATATATTTCCTGTCTATTGTTGATGGTTTTTCTAGGAAAGTTTTTGTGTTTTTACTCAAGAATAAATCTGATGTGTGTGAAAGATTTAAAAATTGGAAAATCTTGATTGAAAACCAAACTTCAAAGAAAATCAAAACCTTGAGAACTGATAATGGAACTGAATTTTGTAATGCTGAATTTGATACTTTGTGTTCTGAATCAGGCATTAAGAGACGTAAAACTGTTGTTTATACACCCCAACAAAATGGAATTGCAGAAAGAATGAACATAACTTTGCTTGATATAGTTAGATCTATGTTAAATTCTTCTGGCTTGAAAAAACCTTTTTGGGGTGAGGCTGTTCTTACATCTGCTTATTTGTAAATAGGTCTCCTTTTGTGCCCTTGAGTGGGGAATTGCCTGAATCTAAATGGTGTGGTAAACTTGTAAATTTATCAAATCTGTGTGAAATTCCCGAATCCTCGGTGCCGAACAAAAATGGTGAGCTCCCGGTCCGCAAATGGCAGGTGAGGCTCGGCGATCCTTTGTGTGGTCAGACCTATGTGGTCCTTTGTTCGAGGCTTGGTGCGCAAATTAAGGGGAGGATCGTGGTCCTTTGTGGTCCGACCTATTGTTGAAGTGCAAACAATGTCCCACATCGGTTTAATATGGGAAAGATCAATCATTTATAAGGAGGGGATATCTTCTCCATTGGTATGAGGCCTTTTGGGGAAACCCAAGAGCAAAACCAGTTGGGCCCAGCCCAATCTGGACCATATCATACCAATGTGGAGTTTGTGCTATCCCGATAAGGACCTAACAGTTAAAATAAATTTTAAATATCAACAAATCGATCAAATTTTACGATTTACGATTTAGGAAAACTTTAATTCATTATATTAATAATAATAAACTTGTGATAATTAAAGTTTTTGTCCCTATATTATATACCATTTTTTATTTTGGTCCTTAAACCGAAAATGCCCCCAAGTGGAGGTCAATTTGTAATTTCTGAAAATCCAGCTCCCTGGCTCAAACAGTTCTGAAAATTGCTGAATCACCCCTATACTTACTCCATCTTCCTAGCCGCTTTGCAAATCTGACCACAAAGTGGATCTCTCTTTGAATATCCAAAATATCCGCCACATTTACGAGAATTCGCAACATCGAGCATAAAACCTTATGATTTACGATTCAATTCTTACGATTCAATTCATTCATATCTATGTCGATTCAAATGTTAAAACCAATCTTAAATATCAACAAATCGATCAAATTTTACGATTTTTGGTCCCTATATTATATACCTTTTTTTTTGGTCCTTTAACCAGAAATGCCCCCAAAGTAGGGATCAGTTTGTAATTTCTGGAAATCCACCTCCCCGTCTGAAACAATTTTGAAAATTGCAGAATCACCCCTATACTTACTCCATCTTCCCAGCTGCACCAACCAAATTGCAAATTTAACCCCAAAGTGGATCTGTCTTATAATATCCAAAATATCCGCCACCAACGCAGTATGCTTCGACTCCTCCTCGGGTATAATCGTGTCTGACTCATTTAAGAAAATTCGTAATACCGAGTTTAAAATCTTATGATTTACGATTCAAATCTTAAGATTCAATTCATTCATTCCTAAGTCGATTCAAAAGTTAAAATAAATCTTAAATATCAACAAATCGATCAAATTTTACGATTTACGGTTTAGGAAAACTTGAATTTATTATATTATTTATAATAATCTTGTGATAATTATAGTTTTTGTCCCTATATTATATACAATTTTTTATTTTGTTTTCCACCCCCAAGTGGGTCAATATGTAATTTCTGAAAATCCACCTCACGGGCTCAAACAGTTCTGAAAATTGCAGAATCACCCCTATACTTACTCCATCTTCC